CTGGCAATATCATATCCTCTTGGCTGCACTGTGTCAATAGATCTTCATTTGAGATTGTTCTGTGCCAAAAGATATTGAGGATTTTTCTGAGGCAGGTTGTATAGAATGAAGATAGTTTGACATGTGGGACTTTCTCATTCCCGAGCATTCTGCACTATAAAGTAATGTTGAAAGTACGCAACTCTGATAAATCTTGAGTTTGGTTTTGGTTTTGTATCTTGATGATTTCCAGACTGTATTTAAGCTCCTGAAGGTGTTCCTAGCTTTATTGATTTTGTTCCGGATGTCCTGGCTTGTTCCACTGTCCTGGTTGATGGTTGCTGCCCAAGTATGTGAATGTTTCTACATTGGTGAGAACATAATCCTCTATCCGTACTGGTGATGGTGAGGCAATATTAAAGGTCATGATATCTGTCTTATTGTGGTTGATTTTCAATCCAATTTGCTGGCTGAATGCATTGAGTTGAGTTGTTTTTTCTTGTATATGGCATAGGGTGTGTATTAAGAGAGCGAGATCATCTGCAAAGTCCAGGTCTTCAAGGAATGAGAAGGGTGTCCTTTTAATGCCTCTTGGCATGTCTTCTGTTGTACGCTGCATTACCCAGTCGACGGCAATGTTGAAGAGGATTGTAGACATGATACACCCCTGACGTACTCCTATTTTGACTTCAAAACTGAGCTCACTGTGATCAACACTGCATGTAAAGTTGAAATAAAAACTTTTGATGATGTTAATTATACGGAGAGAGATTCCATATGCCCACAGAATGCGCCAGAGGCTGGTCCTGTGAATGCTATCAAAAGCCTTCTTAAAGTCTATTTATGTAGAGTTGCCGTTGCCATTCTAAGCATTGTTCTATTATATTTCATAGAGTGGATATCTGGTCTGTGCATCCACACCCTTTCCGAAAACCAGCTTGCTCTTTTCTGAGAACGCTATCAACTGCCTCTGATATACACTGGACTATGATCTTACACAATACTTTGCTTGGCACCTTAACAAAGGTGTTATACCACGCCAGTTATTACAGTCACTGAGAGTTCCTTTTTTTGTTATCTTCACTATAACCTCATCGGTTCACTCATCTGGCACTTTTTCCCTTTCCCAGATTGATGTAACTAGAGGGGCCAGGATAGATGCTGCTAACTCAGGATTTACCTTGAACAATTCTGCATTCAAGTTATCCTTGTCAGGAGCTTTCCCATTTTTTAAAGATTTGATGGCTTCAGTGATCTCTTTCTTAGCTGGGGTGTCTGTGTTGATATCAAGATCTTCTTCTGCCTCCTGGACGTTTGCTTCCTCTTTAGGTAGCTCCCTGTTCAGCAATTCTTTGAAATGCTTTGTCTAGCACATTTCTTGTTCTTTTTCTGTTGTTAGTAGGTGGCCTTGTTTGCCCCTGATGAGAGTGTTTCTTGGTGTCCGCTGTTTACCACTGATAAGCCGCGTCATTTTGTACATGGTTCCTTGTTCACCACGAGCAGCAGCATCCTCTGCTTGTGTTGCCAGATTATCAATATAATGTCATTTATCCACTCTCACAAGTCATCATTTGACCTCCCAGTGTGCCTTGCTATACTGCTTGCAGTATTTGTCCTTTAGCTTCTGGGATTTTCTGTCTAAAAACTTTTTTCTTCAGGGCTTGTCTGGTTTCTAAGGCATTCCATGTGCTGGATGTAATCCACTTCTTCCTTCTCTTTTGCCTGTAGCCTAGACAAGCTTCACTGCTCTGTTTATAAATTGCTGTTACTTTGTCCCACTTCTTGTTGATCTCCTCATCTTCATTCCTCTTCATCAAGATCTGCAAGTGCTTGAAACCTGTTCTTTAATGGCAGAATGAAGGCTTTTGTATTTCAGGGGACTTTAGCTTGTCAGTGTCATAATATCTATGTCCCTAGTTTGGTGGACCCACACTTCTCAGTTTTAGCTTGATGGTGGAGGAATCTGTTTACTTCAGACAAATGTGTCTCATTTACTTGAAATCACTTCAGTCAAAACATTGGGGTAAATCTGCTGCACTTTTCTGTTTGTATGATTAACCTTGAGATGTTTTCTACCCAGTGGAGATTATCAGTGAGTTGTGAGCCCTTGGCTAGAATCATTTTCCCCAAAGCGCTCTGATTTTCATAACTTTTCATAACTTTCACCTCCTACTGCTCTTGGAACACACTGAGATTTGGTCCAGCTGTGTTTATTTTCTTTACAAAAAGAAAACAGTTATATTTTGCACTTCTAAGGAAACCTTACTAACCTTAATTAACGAAGGCTCATGACATCCCTGGGTATGCAAGTATTTTACAGAAAAGGCACAGAAATGTCCCCAGAAGTTGCTGAAGGTCACACAAGGGAAACTTGGACTATAACCCAAGAGTCCTGGCTCCATGTTTTCTAGATGCTAGACGATGATCCCTTCCATTAAAAAAAAAAATCCTTACTTTTTAAAAAAGGCATTTGATTGCAGAAAAAGGTACTGTATGGGCATGGAACATTCATGGGATTCTTGAATACTTATTAGAGGGGCTGTCATGTGTGGTTCCCATTAAATGAAAACTATAAGGTGACACATCCCCCTGCCCCATATGAATCGGAATCAATTCATACAGGTTGTGGATCACATCTTATTAAATAAAAGGACTCCCACCAGCCCAGTTTAGCTGCCATAATTGCTCAGCTCTGTTTTCCTCGAATTGAAAATGCTCACATAACACCATAAGAACGGCCATACTGGGTCAGACCAAAGGTCCATCTAGCCCAGTATCCTGTCTTCCGACAATGGCCAACATCAGATGCCCCAGAGGGAATGAACAGAACAGGTAATCATCAAGTGATCCATCCCCTGTCACCCATTCCCAGCTTCTGGCAAACGGAGGCTAGGGAGAAAGATCAGTTCCTGTGTAAGATCAAAAGGCTATATTTTCTCTTTATCATGAAAAAAAATCAAATAATTAGTCAAGCTATCTACGTGGCTATATGAATTTCCCTCATTGTCCCTAGCAAACCTAGGTCCTCATCACAAACAGTATTTGATGGACTCATACCAAAATTTAATAGTATTATTGCACACCATATGTCCACCAGATGATTAACTTTGAGCAATGGGGTCAAAGGGAGAAAGAGGCTGAAAGCAAAGAACAGATTGTGTTTGTGGATTTCCTTTTTCACTCTTATCTTCATCTTGAACATCAGTTTCACATTATCACCCCGGAAGAAGGGCCCCAGTTGCCTGTGAAATGTAAACAGTTCCGTTTTCCTGATTTGTTAAATCAACACTGGGAAGCAATGAAACAAGTCTGATACTTGTGGGTACACATGCTGCCAGCTGTCGCTATGAGTGTCATTCTATCAATGGCCACCAGCAGAAGACTCGGAAAGTCCTGTATTAGACAAAACATGGAATTCCAGCTGCTTGGGGAGAGGAATTTCTCGACACACATGACGTACTAGGAAGCTGCATTGGGCTTATAGCCCAGTGGCTAGGGTGTCAGCCTGGTACTTTAGGAGACCTGGATTCAAGTCTCTACTCTGTAACACACTTCCTTGGGGAAGTCACTTAGTCTCTCTGTGCCTCAGTTCCCCATCTGTAAAATAGGGTCTCTAGCACTGCCGTGCCTCACAGGATTGTTGGGTCAATCTATACATCAAATAGTGTGAGGTGCTCAGTTACTCTGGTAATGTGTGCCATATAAGTACCTAGGATGCATGGATGAGAAAAAGGTCTTCATATGCTTTCCCTTAAAGCCACCCTTCTGTCTCCATGCTAAAGATGAACAAGCCAGAAAATAATTCATATCCGATGCCTGTTTAAAGGTTGAGTGTCAGCTCCTGCCATCGGATGCATGAGATTACCGTGTTCACTGGGGAGGAACATCTTACTCACCCTGATTCCAGCAAAAAAGCTCTTGAAACATCATTGCAGTTATTCCATCTCTCTGAGAGGCAGTCACAAGGTCAACAGAAAAATCCTTTAGTCAGTCTAGCTGTGACTACACCATGGGCTAGGTTGACCTAACCTAATTACAGTGCTCAAGGTGCAAAAATTTTCACACCCCTGAGCAACATAGCTAGGTTGACTTAAGTTTTATGTGTAGACCAGCCCTAGTCATTCCAGACACTGGCCACTGGCAGATACTTGAGGTCCAACTATTCTATTCTTGCCTGTTATTGACTTGTTGTGTGACCATAAGTAAGTCACTTCACCTCTCTTTAGTGAAACAAATGGATGATGAAAATACTTACCTCTGTAATGCATTTTGAGATCTATAAATTAAGGAAGCTACACTGCTGTTAGTATTTTCTTCCTTATCCACCATACAGTTTCTGTTTTCTTTTCCTTGTGAATACTTTTAAAAGTTTATTTTTGCTTTCTAATTTTCAGAGAGAGAGAGAGAGAGAGAGAGTTGCCAAGAAAATTCCAATCCTATAATCACTGTATCAACTTCAAAATATGAATACATCATACAGTAATAACTAGAGAATTAGTAAAAAGAACAGGAGTATTTGTGGCACCTTAGAGACTAACAAATTTATTTGAGCATAAGCTTTCGTGGGCTACAGCCCACTTCATCGGATGCATAGAATGGACCATATAGTAAGAAGATATTTATACATACAGAGAACATGAAAAGGTGGAAGTATCCATCTTGATTATCACTTCAAAAGTTTTTTTTCCTCCTGCTGATAATAGCTCTTCTTAATTAATTAGCCTCTTACAGTTGGTAATGAGATATTTATACATACAGAGAACATTCCACCTTTTCATGTTCTCTGTATGTATAAATATCTTCTTCCTATATGGTCCATTCTATGCATCCAATGAAGTGAGCTGTAGCCCACGAAAGCTTATGCTCAAATAAATTTGTTAGTCTTTAAGGTGCCACAAGTAATTCTGTTCTTTTTGCTGTTACAGACTAACAGGGCTGCTACTCTGAAACCTATCATTAGAGAATTAGTGTCATCGTTCTTGTAGCATGTGTGTATATGCAGCAGAGGTGAGTAAGAGAACATGAGTCTACACAACTAAAGTAAGGTTTGTAGAGCTGTTGAGTTGTACTGTCTGGTTAACGATGATGTCAATGATTAATGATGGCAATGGAATAACTTATTTCACTTTCAGGCTTGGGACTAATCTTCTGCCACCAATCTGCCTAAATCGTTTTAGAATTGATAACGGTTTCAGTCCCCAGGATAAGATCTTCCTCTTCTGCCAACGGGCTAAGGATCAAGTGTGGTTTTTTCCCCCTGGGTCAAGCTAAGCTAATCTATCTCCCTACAAACACTCCTTGCACAGACAGACAGACTGCATCAGGCCAACTCTCAACCATTTACCCATGAATCAGTCAAGGTCTGAACCTTTTAGACTTGTCTGTAAAGGAGAAACAGAGAGAGGAAAGGCGGGTGGGGGCAATCCCAAGCATCAAGAGCTTTTCAGCCATATGTGTGTAAAAATTCTCTTTCCATATCACGTGACACAAGGAAGAGGCTCAAACCCATTACACAATCATAAAAATATGCCTTTGGCAAAGTTGAGCCAAAACCTGAAGCTGCTGCAGGAAGCTGGGAACAGCAGCGAAAGGAATAAACTTTTTAAAACGCCGTTTGAAGACTTGAATTTTCAAGCTACCCTCAGAAAGGAAGTTGTCTGCAGAAATAACTGGGATTCATGCTAAACTGTGTGACAACGATTTGCAATGAAACATCTGCTTAAGATTCAGTAGATTTTCCAGTGCAGGGTCAAGAAAGAAAGAGATTAGTCCTGGTAAGTAGAATTCCCCCCCCCCTTTTTTTTTAACCTTAACTTTGAAACACTGGCTAAATAAGGTCTAAATTACTGAGCACTCAGGTTTCCAAGTTACGCAAAGGAATCCTTAATGGCAACAGTCTTGAATTAAAAGAAATATTACAGTGAGAAAATGCTTATCAGAGAGAGTTTTCTGGGCTCAGTCAGCCCAGGGAAGTTTTTTCTCTGTTCTTTAACTGGTGACTTGTATAATAAGGTTTTCTACACAACGCTACTGGGGGATTGGCACGGGCATCAGCTGATTGCTTAATGGCAGGGACAGTAATGCAACCCAAAGCGTAAGAGATATTGTTCTCCTTTTTTTGAAGTGTAATGTTATCAGCATTTTGCCTAAGAACAGACAATGGGCCAAATTCAGACCTGATGTAAATCTATTGACTTTCACTGAGCTACACAAGCAATTAAATGCATCCATTTTAAACATGCCACTGTAGTTATTAATAGCACACCTTGTTTAAATCAAATAATTGTTTAGCTGTGTGTGGACAAGTGCTTTGCTGCTATCATTAGGGTGATACTTTATTAATTATAATAAAAGGGAAATCCGTCATTTTAAGAATATTAGGACCTTTTGAATTATACTGCAAGAATCTGGGGTGAGGAGGTTGTTGTTTTATTTAACAGATGTCCAAATATTTATGGGAAACATTGGAATGCAAGGATTTAACTAATCTTTAATTTGCAAATCGGTGTTAGAAAACACTGTAAGGTTATAAGGCAGCAGGGAGGAAATATAATTCAGGCAACATCAGTTAATAGACTGCATGGTCAAAGCTTACAGTCCCTATTCAGGCAATACAGAACACCATATATTTTTAGCCTCATTTGTCAATTACTGTGTGGTGAAGGTTCCCTCCCACTCATCCCCTTCAAACACCCCGCACCTCCAGCTTGTACTTTTTAGCTTCCTTGAAGGAAATGTACCATTGAGTCAGGTCATCTGTCACCACACAACCACTTTCCTACTTGGATAAACCGCTCTAGGATTTTTACTCTGACTTTACATTTCCAAGGCAGCTGAAATGCAACAAAGAATGTATACTATGGTACATGACAACAAAAAGGGTGCTCTTCCAACCATTCATCCATGGCTCATTTGTGGTGTCCTGGCCAAACCTTTTCCTTGCCTGGATTCTCTTTTCCCGTCCTATTTTTTATTTTAATTTACACTTGCCGTATCGGATTCCCTAACAGTGTGCCCCACAACAGACAGCAAGAATACCCGAGTTCTGATACTGACCCCTTCCAGAGTCTTAGGCAAGTCACTGCTCATTTTCCCCCAGAAAAGTCAGTGTATTAAAATGACATTACTAAACTGAAGGGCTAATGGGAGGATTATTATTATTTACTACCAATATTGTGGGAACAGCTGGGAGCCACACTCACAGACCAGGACCCATTTGTGCTCGGTGCTGGGTGAACACAGAACAAAGACAGTCCCTGCCCTGAAGAGCTTACAATAATTAGCTGATGTTTGTCAAACACTATGGAAGTGCTGAGTATTATTGCACAAGGGATATATTTTTGATCAAACATTCAACAACACCCTGAATATAGAAAACATTCTCATTGAATGTTATTCAGACTGTAATATCTCCACTGAAATCTTGCAGTATGCCTAACTTTTTCTTTCTGACCTTTGCTACTGGGACCATTGCCTGTAGTTTGGAGAGGCCAGGGACATATGCTGATCTGGTTCCAATATGCTTTTTGAGGCTGAGAGAGCCAGAGCAAGAGAGAGAGAATTGGAATCCCACAATGGGCATCTATCCCGCCCCAGGGAGGCTTTCTTCCTAAACTTAACAAGATAGTGACTGGCTTGTGTCCTGGAGCACAAGGCATTATATCCCTTCCAAAAGTTCTGTTTTTCTTTCCTAATTACTACTATAAAGGATACCTTGTTGCAATGAGTTCCACAGGATAATTAAGCATTTATCAGTTTTAAATTGGCTGCCTTTCATCATCCACTGTGCCCTTATTCTAGGATTATGACAAAGTAAACCAAAGAGTTCAATTTACTTTCTCTATGCCATTTGTTATTTTGTACAACTCCATATTGTTCCCTTTTATTCATCTCTTCTATAAACCAAACAGCCCTCCTCTTTTCAATCTCTCTTCATAAGGCATTTTATCCATGCCTCTATTTCTGTTGCCGGTCTGAGAATTAGGGCTGGTTGGGAATTTTTCAACAAAACTGAAACTTTTCACAGAAAGTTCTTGGGTCTAGGATCTATTGAACAAGATACCTGCCCCATCTGAGCAAAAGCGTGGTGGTTAGGGCATCTGGGATGTGAAAGACTCAGGGCTTGGCTACATTTGAGAGTTAGAGCACATTAAAGCAGCCTCGGGCGCCCAACCTCATGACAAGTCCACACTGACAAGGCACGTAGAGCGCTCTGACTCCGTGGCTAGAGCGCTCCTGGTACTCCACCTCAGCGAGTGGAATAACGTTTTGTGCACCCCCGCTGGAGCGCCGCAGCACCAGTGTGGACGCCCTGGTCTGTTAGTGCGCTCTGATCGGCCTCCAGAAGTGTCCCACAATGCCTGTTTTAGCCACTTTGCTCATCACGTTGAACTCTACTGCCCTGCCCTCAGGTGACAACCGTCAGACCCGCCCTTTAAATTCTCTGGGAATTTTGAAAATCCCCTTCCTGTTTGCTCAGCCAGGCGTGGAGTGCTCGCAGCGAATCTTTCCAGGTGACCATACCTCCACGCGCCAGGCGATCCCCAGTATGGAGCAATGGCGAGGTGCTGGACCTCATCAGGGTTTGAGGGGAGGAAGTGGTCCAGTCCAAACTGCGCTCCAGCCATAGGAATTACGATACCTTCGGGCAGATACCAAGGGACATGATGGAAAGGGGCCATGACTGGGATGCTCTGCAGTACAGGGTTAAAGTGAAGGAGCTGCGGAATGCCTACCACAAAGCCTGCAAGGCAAACAGCCACTCTGGTGCTGCCCCTGCAACCGGCCGTTTCTACAAAGAGCTGGACACAATACTGGAGGGCAACCCCACCACCATTCCAAGTACCACCCTGGACACTTCAGAGCCCAGTTCAACAAGGCAGGAGGAGGAGGAGGAGCGAGGATGCTGAGGAGGAGGGACATACACTGGCATCCCTAGATGCATGCAGCCAGGAGCTGTTCTCAAGCCAGAAGGAAGGTAGTCAGTCGCAGTGGCCGGTGCTTGGGGAAGGACAAACACCAGAGGAGGTTCCCAGTAAGTGGCTTTTATTTTGGGAAGGAAGTTATTCGGTGCGGGCTCTTGGAGTGAGGAGGGTTAGGGCTGCATGCATGCCTAGATGTGGAATAGGGCGTTGACGTGCTCTCTCAAATTGCGGTAATCGGCCTCAGTGATCTCTTCGAAGGTCTCATCCAGAACTTGGGCAATGCACTTGTGCAGGTTTCTTGGGAGAGCCACTGTGTTCCTTGTCCCAGTAAGGCTAACATGTCAGCGCCACTGTGCCATGAGGGGCGAGGGGACCATTGCTGCACACAGGCAAGCTGCATATGGGCCAGGGCGGAATCCGTCTTGCAGTAGAAGACCCTCCCTTGCTTCCCAGGTCACCCTCAGCAGCGAGATATCTTCTAGGACGAACTCCTGTGGAAAATGTGGGGACAGTGTTCAGTAGAGGGGCCCCCTGCAGCTGTTGGCTCTCCCCAATGCACAGAAACCTGGAGGACAGTACAGCCATGAAACAATCAATCAGTCACGCTTGACCCTGTGCTTACTCACCATTTTGGGGATCCCATGGGTTATGTGTGCTCGCTTTGGGATGGGCAAATTATGCTATTGTGTAGACTGTGCTTGCCCTTATGTATGGGGGAATCCTGTCTCTGTCTGGTGTGAACAATGCTGCCTCTGTTAAGTGTTGCATTTTGCCCTTACAGATGCAACCTTGAGATCTCAGCCGTCCGTGTTATCAACTTCAATGAATTAGGAAGAGGCCACGTAAAAGCAAAGATGACATGCTACATGAAGTCATGCAGCAGTCCCTTAACAAGAATCTAAAATTGCAGGAATGGAGGGAGAGTGAAAGGAGGATCTGCCAGCAGAATGAGGCATGCCAGCACAAAAGCGCAGTGCTCCGGCAGCAAAGCACAGAGTGGCTGATAAGCATCATGGAGCGCCATGCGAACTCGATCCAGGCGCTCGTAGCCAGGCAGGCGGAGCACTACCAAGCCCGCCCCCCCCTGCAGCCCTTGTCCCAAAACTCTTTCCCTTGTGCCCCCATGTCACCTCCAACCCACTTTCCCCAACATCCGGGTTCTTACCGTCACCAGCTGCCTCCAACACCTGTAGCTTCACCACCCAGCCCTGAAAACTACGACCCTGATCTCCTGCACTCAACCCCCATCACCATGCAATGTAGCCATCCTGAAGTGCAGCACTCATTGCACAGCACTCCAGACAGGAAGGCTGAGTATAACAGGACATACGCAAATCTTTGGTTGTACCATTCCCCACCGCACCCGCTTGCCCTTTCTGTTTCCCAAGTAGTTGTGTTTCTTTGCAATAAATGAATTTTATTTTCAATAAATGGATTTTTTTGGCTTGGAAAACGTTCTTTATTATTGCATAAAGTAAAAGATACCTTAGCCCAGGAAAGCAACAGGCACTGCAAGTCAGTGTAGCAAACACAGATTCCTACTAACATTGGAACCACTCCCGTGCAGGGCACCAGACATTACTGGTGGCTTTCAGCCTCAAATTGCTCCCTCAAGGCATCCCTAATCCTTGCAGCCCCGCGCTGGGCCCCTCTAATAGCCCTGCTCTCTGGCTGTTCAAATTCAGCCTCCAGGTGTTGAACCTCCAAGTTCCATGCCTGAGTGAATCTTTCACCCTTTCTTTCACAAATGTTATGGAGGGTACAGCACGCGGATATAACCGCGGGGATGCTGTCATCGGCCAGGTCGAGCTTCCCATACAGACAACTCCAGCGGCCCTTTAAATGGCCAAAAGCACACTCCACAGTCATTCTGCACTGGCTCAGCCTGTTGTTGAACTGCTCCTTGCTGCTGTCAAGGCTCCCTGTGTAGGGTTTCATGAGCCATGCCATTAAAGGGTAAGCGGGGTCTCCAAGGATCACAGTGGGCATTTCGACTTCCCCTGTGGTGATCTTCTGGTCTGGGAAAAAAGTCCCAGCTTGCAGCTTCCTGAACAGACCAGTGTTCTGAAAGATGTGTGCATTATGCACCTTTCCAGGTCAGCCTGCGTTAATGTCAATGAAACGCCTACGGTGATCCACAAGCGCCTGGAGAACCATAGAGAAATACCCCTTCCGATTAACATACTTGGAGGCTAGGTGGGCTGGTGCCAGAATTGGAATATGTGCCGTCTATCGCCCCTCGCAGTTAGGGAAACCCATTTGTGCAAAGCCGGCCACAATGTCATGCACGTTACCCAGAGTCACGGCTCTTCTGAGCAGGATGCGACTAATGGCCCTGCAAACTTGCATCAACACGATTCCAACAGTCGATTTTCCCACTCCAAACTGGTTAGCAACCAATCGGTAGCTGTCTGGAGTTGCCAGCTTCCAGATTGCAATAGCCACCCACTTCTCCACCCCCAGGGCAGCTCTCAATCTTGTGTCCTTACACTGCAGTGTGGGGGCAAGCTCATCACACAGTCCCATGAAAGTAGCTTTCCTCATCCGAAATTTCTGCAGCCACTGCTCGTCATCCCAGACTTGCATGACGATGTGATCCCACCACTCGGTGCTTGTTTCCCGAGCCCATAAATGGCGTTCCACGGTGGTGAGCATGTCTGTGAATGCCACAAGCAATCTCGTGTCGTATGAGTTACTTGAGTTGATATCATAGTCGGAGTCTTCACCGTCAGTTTGGATCTTAAGGAGTAACTCGACTGCCAAACGTGAAGTGCTGGCGAGAGTTGTCAGCATACTCCTCAGCAGTTTGGGCTCCATTCCCGCAGACCGAAAGGGAACATAGAGCGTGCAGTACAAAAAACGTTGAAAGATGGCGCCAAGCGTGGACGGAAGCACAGGGATTGCTGGGATGCGAACCGATGCATCACGGGGTATTGGGACAGGACCCAGAATGCCCCACAACCCCTGCCCCCTTCCCACAAGCCACAGCACCAGAATGGGAAGAGGTGCTCTGTGGGATAGTTGTCCATAATGCTCCGCTCCCAATGCTGCTGCAAGTGCCTCAAATGTGGCTACGCCATTGCGCTTGTTCCTGTCAGTGTGGACTGCAATGCTTTCCCTACTGCGCTCTCCGAGGGGTGGTTTAACTCAAAACGCTCTACATTTGCAAGTGTAGCCATGCCCTCAAGTTCTGCATCAGGCAGAGCAGAGACTTGAATTTGGCTCTCCCACAGGCCTGGTGAGTTCCCTAACGACTCAGCTGTTTGGGAGGGTTTCTCTCTCTCAGAAAGTTTTGGGGTTGCCCCAAAATAGGATGAGAACATTTTTGAAATCTCAGGAACTTTTGCAAGATAGGAAAACCATTTCACTGCCCAGCTCTGCTCAGAATGCCCTCTATTTCTATTAAGCCCTATTTGTGATGGGTGAACAGAACTGAACACAAAATTTCAGGGCATACCAGTAGTATTATAATTCTCCATTGCATTCCTTAGGTATCCTACTATTCTATTTGCCTTTATTATTATTGTTGTTGCTGGACACTGAGCAAAGGTCTTTATTCATCTGCCCACAGTGATACCTGTTCTGTGGTTTCGATCTCCAACGCTATTAAACTGACACTTTTCACCAGCCATAATTTAACTTACATATGTATAAAGCAAGAGAGAACCCAGGAATGAGATGATCAAAATAGCTCAGGAACTGAACCCTTTCTCGAGATCTGTTTTATGTCTCTTGCTCCTCTGCATGTTCTTAATTATATACATTGAAAAAGTGTGGGGCACTCGATACAATGTTAATTTGTAGCATATTTTTCCAATGGATTTGAAATAGCAAGTTACGTGGCTCTTGGAGGACATAGTACTACATATTCCATTCCCTTCAGAGAGTGTGAGCAGGGAAGGATGTTAGATGTGTGTTTTGCACAATACTTTTATTAATAATCTCAGTTTCTAATGTATGGGCTAATTAGAACATCCAAAGCCCCTTTAAGTCAATGAGAATCTTTCTCTTTACTTCAGTAGGCTTCGGATATAGGCCCCAGAGACAGCTGTGTTCTTATGGACTAGAAATGCCTGGTAACAGATAACAGAGTTCATACTGTCACAATTAATGCTCTACCTTGTATCTGTGTTCATTTAACTACACTTGCTTTGCCTACCTACAGATATTCAGAGAAGAGTGCTAGAGAACTGTCTGGAAGCTGGTTAGATTGAACAAAAACTCATCTTATATTAAGTTAGTAGAACATAAACATCTGATAAAAATCCAAGTGGGATGATTGATGAATCTTTTATTTGATATATATTTAGAAAGAGGGGTATCTGTCACAGCTGGGGAAGGAAGCTCTTTGATAAGGGAAGGGGTCGGGTTCTTATGTGTACCTCTCTCTTTGTCCATTAATTAAACATACTAAACCTTTTAACCTGGCAGACACAAGAAATACCATAGTTCAGGATTATTAAAGTGATATCTTTTTAATTTCATTGGGTAGGATTCACAAAGATATTTAGGCACCTAACTGCCTTCAATTTTTAGGCACCTCCTGATTTCAATGGGAGTTAGACACCAACCGTTGAGGCTTGGCTTCTCTGCTGTCAATAATCTGCAATGGTAAAGGTGAGATAACTAGAGATTTGTATGGGGCAGAGGTAAATTGGCATTCTGAAATGAGGTACTGTGGATTCTGACGGCCTGTGACATAGCTCCCAGTCACTACAGATGGCACTCTTGTAAACACCATGCTGAATGTAGATATTTTGTCCCCAGTTCTACTTCTGTGACATTCAACCTACTCTTAGCACAGAAGGAGACAATAAGTATGCAGTGAAATGACATTTTCTAAAGTTTTTGAATAAGGGATGGTCTAACTCCTCTCCTCTGTAGAGATTTAAACTCACAACCATGCTGGAAATTTTGCAGAGGTTTACATGCTTCTGCAAATCCCACCGCATATACATATTCATTCAGCTTCCACTTTTTTTAATGTAAAGAATTTTACTGAGGGAGATATAAGCACAATGAAGGAGTCAGTCCTACATGATGCTCAATGCCCTCATTCTGCACCTCTCAGGATCAGTCCCCTAATTCACACATTGTCATAATTGTCTCCAAATTATATGATTAGGTCCCTCTTCTGTCACCCTCACTCACAGTATCTTGCTCCTCACTCCATGAGTGGTATCACTGAATAGGTGTAAAGGGTATCAGAATCTGGAATACTCTGAAACCAGATTAAGTATATCAGTAAATAGTCTCCTCTGCGGTTACATTTAAATCAGTTTATTTTACATGCTAATGGGCTAACTTCCATGAAACACCATGGAAGTGAATGGGATTACAGAGGTGCAACTAAGAGCAGAATTTGCCTCAGTGTAACAGTCAGGGAGAGAGAGGAACTACAACAGGAAACAGACACAACAAGATTTGGATTTAGTTAATTGTACACATTTCCAGCAAGGCTTGAGCTAGAATTCTTAACCAAAAAACACGGAGGCACAAAAACCAGAGGGAGGGAAAATGAGCTGACTTGGTGTGAGGTTAGGAAAACATCAGGGGATGAGAATACAGTATAACGGAGGCAAAGCAAGATGGGGGATCCTGGAGGGGGAAGTGAAGAGGCAGAGAAGAAAGTACTGAAGAATGTCAGTGATCTCCTGCCAGCTCTGACAGCTGTGAGGAGATAACAGCTGCAGCCTATATTCAGAGTTAGAGAGACTCTGATGTGTGTTATTAGGCTGCAGAGTGTGCTGCTTGCTGTGGACTGGAATTGATGGAGACATGATAAAGAATCAGAAGGGCAGACAGACATCTTTGCTCAGCAAGTCTAAGAGTGAAGAGAGGTGGATGTTGGTTTTGTAGCCCTTGGGCAAAAGCAAGTTTAAAAAAAAAAAAATCTTAGCTGAGATTTTGGCAAACTGGAAAATGAATGGATCTGAAAAACCAGTTTCCACGTGAAAGTAGGTAGAGTTCTCAACCACACTTGACAAGTGCTGCTGACAGTTCAGGAATCACTGGGAGTATTCAGGAGCTACCTCTTTAGATCCCTGAGTAATGAGAAACATGGGAGTCCAGCAGTAAGGATTTTAGCTCTGTTAATATGCAGCAAATCACTCCCTGCACCCCACCACCGTTACTTCTACTCTGCATTTCACAGCTTTCAGGGATCAAGAGTAAAAAGAAGAAATAGCAAAGAAAGAAGGAGATAAAATGATACGGGTTGGGGAAAAAGGGGTCTGAGGAAACAAAGGCCCTTTTTGTTATCCTCAAACCTGCTTTCCCATCCCTTTGCTTCTCCCCTCTTTGTTTCTGGTAACCAGACTGGCAAACCCCAATTTGAGGATGATCCTAGAGTAGATAAGGTTCAGCTGCCCAGTTGATTTCAATGCAGAGATCATAAGAGAACAAGAGAGAGGGGTTAAGCCAGGGGTATTCTCAATGAGGAGAAGAGGAAAGTGGATGTGTAGGTAAGGATGAAAATGCAACTGTCCAATACAGAGGATCCCAGATTCAAATGGGGTGGTTCACTTGACTCCTCCAGCCACCAAAACAATACAACTAGCCCCAATTTTTGAAGAGGAACCTGAAACACTCCCTCTCCGCCTCCCCCCATCCCAAGGTAGGGTAGGGATACTTTTGTGTGTATACTGGCCTGCCATGGTACATGTCAGTAAATCCCTTTGTTTCATTATGACAGGTTTCACCATGATCTCTGTGGTTCTGCTCATCTGGACCGTGCCTTGTGTAGCTAATCAGCTTCTCAGTGGCTTTGTTAAAGGAGAATTTCAGAAAGGTTCCCACCAGCTCATATGCAGCATGCCAGGGCCACAGGGCCCTCCTGGTCCCCCTGGAGCACCAGGGTCTCCAGGAACAATTGGGCGAATGGGGTTTCCAGGAAAGGATGGAAAAGATGGTGAGGACGGGGAGAAAGGAGAGCATGGAGAGGAAGGTAAGAGGGAACTGCCTCTTAGAGATTTGTTAACACTTCAGATTATCCTGGTGAAGAGTAGAGGTTCAGAAAATACAGAGAGATCCAAAGCAGCTGCTCCCAAACATAGGTGCTGAGCATATAGTGGGGGTGCTGAGAGCCATTGAACCAAACTGTAAACCTTCTATACGATGGAAACCACTTCAAGCGATGGGGTGCTGCCACACCCCCAGCAGCCCTAGTTCCAGCACCTATGCTCCCAAACCCATACTTGGGCCATTGTCCCAGTTCTGGGTTTCACCTGAAGTTTCTCGCCTGTCATGCAACTGTCTTGTCTAGCAGTTCCAGCCCTGCTCCCAGCTCAGTCTCACATCTAGCAGCCCCCAGAAATGGGGCCCAGGACTGACACGAATTCGGTACTATCTTTCTGTACTCAGAGACAGGGTAATTCAGGCATTCCTGCCTAAAGCAATCAAAGCTGATCACAGTGAAGGTGGAAGTAATTCTATGTTACATACAGATGATCTGATTCCGCAGGTTCTGAGCAAATCAAATGGAGGCACAGATAAAACTGTGATTGAATTAAGTGAGGTACCCTGTTCCAAACCGGTCATGTTAAACAACTGGTGGAATTTTATTTCACACTAATTAATTCTCAGTAATTTAGATCCATGATTCTTTTCTTTCATGCCTACCTAGAAAGTCCTCGGTGACATCTCTTATCGCTGACCCTTCCCAAAGTGAGATTTTGCTATATTATCTCATAGCTTGTTATTACTCCAACATAGCCAAGTGGCTGCAGGAGCATTTCATTTTTGTAAAGTCTTCTCTTCATGAGACAGCATGTTTAGTGGTTGGAGAGGAAGGATGGGCCAGTGTTTAAGGGGCTCGCGTGGGACTCAGGACTATATTCATTTCCCTGCTCTGCCAGACTTCCTCTGTGACCTTGGGCAAGTCACCTAGCCTTACTCTGCCTCAGTTCCCCATCTGTAAAATGGGGATAATAGCAGTGCCCTACCTCACAGGTGTGCTGTGAGGATCAATACATTCGACTGCAAGGTATTCAGATATTATGGTAATGAAGGCCAGATTCTTGTCTCTCACTGTCACCTTCACGACTTCCTTTTGCTTCTTACACCACATCGCAAATCCTGTCTTAAAATTAGGCTCTGCTCTCTCACATTATCTGCTCAGCAGGACCCTTCTCATAGAATCATAGAAATGTAGGGCTGGAAGGGACCTCAAAAAGTCATCAAGTCCAGCCCCCCTATGCTGCGGCAGGACCATCCCTGATAATGGTTTGTCCAACCTGTTCTTAAAAACCTCTACTGATGGGGATTCTGCAGCCTCCCTTGGAAGCGTATTCCAGAGCTTAACTACCCTGAGAGTTAGAGAGTAACCCTGAAAGTCATCTAGTCCTGCATTGAGGCAGGACCAAGTATACCTAGACCGTCCCTGACAGGTGTTTGGAGGTTTACATCCTGCTTCTTTGAACAAATGTCTATAGCACATAAACTCCCATCACAGTCAGGATTAACTGGCAGTTTCAGCAGAGATGCCAAGGGCAAACGGACATGTGAACTGAACTCTCTTCCTGCTCCTCCAGGTGGTCCCTGCAACTGAGGATCGAGGCACCAAGAGAGGATGGTGGGGGGCGGGGGAGAAACTTGCACTATTTCTGTCTGTGTTGTCCATGGATAAATGGAGGAAGTCACTTTCTAACATTGTCAGGCTCACTCTGCACCCTTCCAGCATGTGTTGCAAAATGCAAGCAGGACAGAGGTTCCTTTGTTATAATGTCTTTTCTAACACAAACATTCATAATGTACGTGTTAGAAAAGACAACATGATTGTCATCTCAGGACCCATCCAGCCTCAGGTATTGTTTCATTAAAATCGCCTGTAGATGGAGATCCTGGCTGGTTTCTTCCCATACGATAATTTCATGTTATAATGATAACACCACCCTCACACCTGATCACATTTTTCACTAAAAACCTCACTGAAGGCAATTTGTCTTCTAGGTCCCCAAGGCAGAACCGGAAACCCAGGCAAACCAGGACCAAAGGGGAAAGCAGGCGCCATAGGCAAAGCAGGACCACGAGGTCCAAAGGGCATTAAGGGGAATCATGGGAATAATGGAGTGCAAGGAAAGAAAGGACCCAAAGGGAAAAAGGGTGACACTGGGATGCCAGGACCATGCAGCTGTGACACCAAAAAGGCCAAATCTGCCTTTTCCGTCGCAGTCACCAAAAGCTACCCGAGAGAAAGGCTGCCCATCAAATTTGACAAGATCCTTATGAATGAAGGAGAGCACTACAATGCTTCCAGTGGGAAATTTATATGCAGCATTCCTGGTATTTACTACTTCACTTACGACATCACTTTGGCCAATAAACACTTGGCCATTGGGTTGGTCCACAATGGGCAATACCGAATAAAGACTTTTGATGCCAATACTGGTAACCATGATGTGGCCTCTGGATCAACCATTATTGCCCTGAAGCAGGACGATGAGGTGTGGTTGCAGATCTTCTACTCGGAACAAAACGGGCTCTTTTATGATCCCTACTGGACAGACAGTTTATTTACCGGCTTTCTTATATATGCTGACCAGGATTATCTCAATGAAATATAAGAAGAGACTGTCAAAAAATAGGAAGCGAGTTTGGGAGCTTATACAAGCAAAGTACAGCTTTAAGTGCGTATGTGTGGGATAATCATAGGACTCTGCATTCTTAGAGCTGTAACGCTGCATTGGCTAGTTGGAAGTCTCCCATACCATTAAAGCATTGTATTTGAATGTCATTTAAGTTTTAGCAGAAGCTCTTTAGTTGCTGTGCTTTCCTAGAACCTTTACCTAGCTATAAAGGGAAGATACTCAGCATACAGTTTACTTGGAGGTGGGGAGCAATTATCACTTGGTTGATATCAGGTGTTTCCCACCAGGATTGTCCTTTTATTGGGTTTGTACAGCCCATAGCATAATGGGCTCCGAGGTGCTACAGTAATACAAATAGACGTAGGATCAGTCGGACCACTTTAAAGTGCCCTTAATGATTGTTTTTTACAGTCCTTGAAGTTGTCTGTTATATTTTCCTTTACCAAGCAGATACGCTGTGGTCAGATCACTATAACTTTAACACCAATGCAGAATCTATATCTTTATTTTTTTTAAATTACAAAAAATGAGCCAAAACATCCATTTTCTGCAGCCTCATATCGGAAGCACTGTTATAGACAATATCTATCCCCCTGCAGAAAGGATCTTCATTAATGCAAAGTCAAAGTTCAGTAACCACTAAAGAGTCAGGCAGTTCTCTGTTAAGATTCTAACAGCAGCTTCGTAAGTGCATTATCAATGGGCAAAGCGGTCTGGCCAAAATAGCACTGGTACAAAGACCTCATCTTAGCCCCTTCATAGTCAATGGTACAGCTTCCTGTAAGATGCTGGCTGCTCTCCACTCCCATTCAATGGGAATTAATGGCACTCAGTACCTTTCAGAATGCATCCAATATTCACAAAATCAGATTTTAAGAGAGACCTGAACTGGAATCCTGGATCTGATTCCACACAAGTTTTGGTAAAGTTGGTATCTGGATCTGGACCCAAGTGTCACATCTCAGGACTGCATGGGCCAAATGGCCCAGTGAGATTCTGATCCAAATCTGGCATGTGGGCTCATGCCTCAAGCTGAGGACAAACTTTTATTCCATGAACTTCTCTCCCTAGCTTTTGCTGTGCAGGATCTGTGTGCTGCTGCTAAGGCTCTTTTCTAGGGCTTTAATGCATACACACATATCCAATTCCTAAGCATGGTGACCCACTGCTACAAGATATTTGTTTTCAGCGTACTATGGTAAAACATTACTGATGTTCTGGAATCAGCCACATTCAGCTTTGTATTGGTGATACAAAGGTCAAGAGTTATAACATTTTTTAGCATTCTTCCTTTATCTAAGCCTATCAGCTGGTGATAACAGAGGTATGGTTCTCTAACGTTAGAAGGACTGTAGCAGAGTCCAAAGCAATCCTGCTATAAAGCTGCTGCAATCTGGCTCTGAGCCCCAGAAATGTCTATTACAAACTCCCCTTTGTAAAACACTCCTAACATAGATATCTATCTTGACAGCCAAATAAGAGAAACCCTTCACCTTTTTCCCATTAAACGTTGGCCAAATTCTTTTCTCAGATATGTACTCATGTCTCCCCAGTCATTTCTTTAGTCTCCTTTATTCTATCACTTTAGATGAAAATTCACATGAAGTTCCAGTTCTTTTAATTTACATGCATTGAAAGGAAATCCCACAAGGCTGGAAACATGTTTATGTTACTTTTAGAAGTCGGAATATTTGCATGACTATTAACTACAGTAACTGTGCTGTCTCTTGCAAGACCATTACATTGCTTTTTAAAAACATAAAACTGAATTCAAACACTGCTGGAATTATCTTGGTTTTATAATAAAGTCTTCCAGTTAGAAAGTATCTCTGGACTGGTGTGCAGCTTGAATCACTGATCCAGACTCACTGACCATAGGCAATCGGATCCCCCGAGTGGAGAACAAGAAGAAGAGGAGACCTGGAAGGAAGGGGGAATACCGACTCCACAGCACACGCCCTCTTTTCCTTGGTCTCTTCCACCTGGCTGGAGCCTTGCAAAAAAATAAAATGGAGCAGAGGAGGGTTTAGCATTTTCTCCTCCACACCCAGTGGAATTCCCATAGGAAAAGCCATTTGCCTGAAGCAAGCACCTATTCCTGTAGGCTGCCTTCCACACTTGCTGCTGTACACTCATTGAGGGGACTGTACCAATGGTAGCACTTTATTTCAGGGCACACAGAGGCCTGGGTATTTTGGGCGATCTATACGTTGAGGTGGTTGAACCTCTTGCCCATTCTCCAGTAGGAGGCAGAGGGAGGGTTCCCTCAGCAGGAGAGAGAGCAGGAAACTCTGCAAGTGAAAACTCAGTTTTCGATTCTCTATGCAGGAATTCTCGTGAGGCAGGGGAACACAGCTTCATATTTCCCCCCGGGACTTATCACTTAAAGGGCCAGTGTACTCATATTTTCAGCGGGTGCCCAAATAATTTTCGCTTCTCAAGCGCCGTTCATCTGCGATCTTGCAGTGCTTTACAGGCACTAATTATTTAAGCCTTAACACTGCTGTGAGGTAGGAGGTATTATGTTTAATGTGCGGGAGACTAAGGCATGGAGAGAGAAAGTGATTAGATCAAGGTCATACACAATCTAAGAATTAACTCCCAGTCCCCAGCTCTCATCTCAAAACAACAGTGACTCTGCCTGGGACATCTCATACATACCTATCTCTACATCTTTTGGCGTGGAAGAGATGGGAGATTACCTGTAAGGTACTTCATTATTTTTTCTCTAATAAAATGAGAAAAATGAATGCAAATATTTAGATCAGGCTCGCCAAGTGCAACTGATCTATAACAGGGATCGGCAAACTTTGGCACTCAACCCACCAGGGTAAGCCCCCTGGCGGGCCAGGCCAGTTTGTTTACCTACTGCGTCCACAGGTTCGGCCAATCTCAACTCCCACTGGCCACGGTTCACTGCTCCAAGCCAAGGGGGGCTGCGGGACGTGGCGCGGGCCAAGGGATGTGCTAGCCGCCGCTTTCCACAGCCCCCGTTGGCCTGGGACGGCGAACCACGACCAGTGGGAGCTGCAATCAGCCAAACCTGAGGACATGGCAGGTAAACAAACCAGCCCGGCCCACCAGGGGGCTTACCCTGGCGGGCCACGTGCAAAAGGTTGCCAATCCCTGATCTATAATGAAAGACAGATCAATGGCATTAGTACAGTACTCTAGGTTTTGCTTTCAACTTTAAGAACAAATTTGAGCTCCCATGTTCTCATCCAAGGAATGGGAGCAGGAGTTCTTTCTTTCAAATAGCACAGAATCATGTTTCAATAACAATTCCATGCCCACCAGTTCAGGTCTGCAGGCCTTCGTAGATACCAAAGGTTCTCAAACTGTGGTCCATGGACCACCAGTAGTCCACGAGCTCCATTAAGGTGGTCCGTGGATAGTTCCCTCTAAGGTGCATGCCTGGGTGGCTGCACATGAGAGTATGAAGGGCCACCCACCTAATTAGTGGAGCCACACAGGTTAGCGTGTCTGGCTCAACAAGGCAGGGTTCTGGAGTCCCAAGCTGACAGGGAAAATGGGCTCAGAGGTCATTTCAGCACATTAGGTGACACTCCCAAGGGGATCTCTCTGACTGAACCCGTCACAGCAACTTTCCCCAACTCCAGGGCTGTGGCTGCAGGGGAAGAGACCTCCTTCCTTCCCAGCCTCAGCTCTGTGGAAGGGGAAAGACTCCCCACCTTCCCAGCCCCAGCTTGACGGCTGCCATGGTGGGGAAGAGAGGACACATCCATCGCTTTAGAAAGGTGAGACTACTGATATTAAAATATGAGTTGTGTGCTTTTATTTTTAGAACAAAAAACGTTTATTATTAAGTTTTTTTTATATAGTGCTTTTATCCAAAGCACTTTACAATAGTTAGCTAACAGTACAAACAACATTTGGAAAGATCATGAAATGGTCCGCCGAGACCCTCAGAAATTTTCAAGTGGTCCATGAAAAAAAATGTTTGAGAACCACTGCTATATACCACAGAGAAGTTATTTCCAGGGCTTGTTTGAATGACATAAGCCACAGCTCAATGAACTTAAGGCAAGTACGGAACTTGGAGAGTTACAGAAGGGAAGTGGAAAACCCAGAAACTAGCCAACTGAAGACGGCAAAATGGGAGAAATTATCTATTCACACAGGAGGAAATTCACCCCTTGGCTGAGGGTCCACCAAAAGCCTTTGAACCATTAATTGTTTCTGTGAAATGTTCCTGAGACAGACAGATGCATGCACTTCAGTGTTGTATTGGTCTTGTGTGGTTTCCTCTTAACAGGGAGAATTTTACCTACAATGGCTTAAGCATGATCATACTATCTCACCTGTTGAAAAAACTTATTTACAAAGCTTGTCACAGGGGATTCAGACACACAGAAAAACCAATAGGCAGCAGCATTTAATAAGGAGTGGCTGCTGACCAGGGGTGTTCTTCCCCCACTCACTTTTCCACCTGTCACTGGGCGTGGAGAGGCAGTTGGCATAGTGGCAAAGGTACCTGCAGCAATGCCAACCCCCATTATTTCAAAAGGCATGAGCCAGGCCAAATAATAAATGAAGCCTGAGATTTGCAATGCCATCTCTTGATTTTGGCCACTGGACCTTTAAGAAAAAACACCAAATATCATGAGACACACATAAAAATCACAAGAGTTGGCAGTGCTGCATCTGTTAGAGATGTCCCTCCCTCCAGTCTTCTGAATTGAGTTCTGGGGTGGATGAGGGTCCTGCTTTTATGTTGTCACTGGGGGAAAGGAGTTGGAGAGGGAGTTGTAACCCTTGCCTCCATCCATGTCAGTTACTCTGATCAACTTTTGCCTCCATAAGGATCTGTTCTCGCCTGATGAAAGTCTCATCTGGTTCACTATTATCCGCTCCATAGTTTCCCTGGTCCTGGCTGCTAATGCTGTATGCACTGCTTCCTGGTCTGACAGAGCCAGAAGAGTACCCAGAAGTCACCTACTACAGGACAGGCCCAACAAAGAAGGTAACAGAACGCCACTAGCCATCACCTTCAGCCCCCAATTAAAACCTCTCCAGCGCATCATCAGCGATCTACAACCCTATCTTGAAGGATGATCCATCACTCTCACAGACCTTGAGGGACAGGCCAGGCCTCCCTTACAGACAGCCCCCCAACCTGAAGCAAATACTCATCAGCAACTACGCACCACATAACAAAAAAACTAACCCAGGAACCAAACCCTGCAACAAAGCCCGTTGACAACTCTGTCCACATATCTATTCAAGGGACACCATCATAGGACCTAACCACATCAGCCACATCATCAGGGGCTCATTCACCTGCACATCTACCAATGTGATATATGCCATCATGTGCCAGCAATGCCCCTCTGCCATGTACATTGGCCAAACTGGACAGTCTCTACACAAAAGAATAAAATGGACACAAATCTGACATCAGGAATCATAACATTCAAAAACCAGTAGCAGAACACTTCTGTCTCCCTGGTCACTCAATAACAGACCTAAAAGTGGCAATTCTTCAACAAAAAAAACTTCAAAAAACAGACTCCAACGTGAAACTACAGAACTGGAATTAATTTGCAAAATGGACACCATCAGATTAGGCCTGAATAAAGACTGGGAGTGGTTGGGTCATTGTAAAACCTAAACCTAATTTGCCCAATATTAATGTCCCCCTACTCTTACTCACACCTTCTTATCAACTCTCTGAAATGGGCCACTCATTACCACCACAAAAGTTATTTTTCCTCCCTTGGTATCCTGCTGTCAATTGAATTGTCTTGTTAGACTAACCTCACACTTGGTAAGGCAATTCACATCTGGTGACCACAGTAGGGTCACCAGAGAAACTCCACTTCTCAGACAGCTTTGGCTTCAACTTTCTCCTCCCACCATATCCTAGCACCTATCAGCAACACACAGAGGGCAAAGGTAGGGAATACCTGGACCCAGAGTTGCCTGAAGAGCGCTCCTCTGCTAGAGGTAGTGTCTCCATCTGGTGACCTGGGGGAGCCTCAGTCTGACAAGACTTAGCAGTTCTATGAGACTTGGACTCTTGCTTGTGAAGCTTAACATCTCCAAGGACCAGGGCCTAGATGGTTAGAAAGTAGAGAGATTGATAGGGGTGCAGGACTGGAAAACAGATCTTCCTGATGCCTCCCCTGGAGTCTGAGCCTGTGTGGTATTGACACCCACAAGCAGCATGACATGAATGGGAGTTAAGGGTGATCAACACCCAATGGAATGCAGACCTGTCCTCATCCCCATTGCCTAGCCCAAATCAGTGACCCTAATATTCAGCCCATCTCCCCAAGTTCCATGCTCCCTTCCTCCCAAAAACTATTCTACACCAAAAGGATTTTGACATTTCAATGTCTATTTGTTATGCTCTTATTCACTTAAATATGAAATAAACATGAAAAACTATAGTGATTGCTAGTATTACTTTTGCATGTAAGCTAAGTATCTAATGTATGTTGGCAGTTTTGAACATAATGTTGAAATGTAACAGCTGGAAACAAGAGGAAACTGGAGCAACCCAGCCAGTCAGGTCTCCACAGTCCACCACATTCAGAGAACCTCTGCACTAAAACTTCACACTAGAGAATGTTGCTGCTAATTAACAGGTTGATGTGTGGACTTACTATCTCAATCTCGGACAATCGTCCTTCAAGAGAAAAAAGGACATGGATCGCTAAGAGTATGTCTACACTGGCAGAGTTACAATCACCGGAAGTTACATCGCCACTCAGAGAGCGCTGAAGGGAAATTGCTGTTGTGTGTTCACACTGTCAGCTGCCTGCATAATAGCATGTTCACACTTGCAGTGGTATTCAGAGTG